AGCTTTTAGATTTTTTTAGTGATACATCTAATACCCCACCTTCCACTATCATAAAACTTACATAACATAAAACCATAACAATTTCATATCATTCTATCTCACGTTATTTATAAGTAAAATTCATATGTATCTCTACAAAATGTTTTATGTTTAATTATATGTTATCGAAGATTATCATTTTCTTAAACCCTATGCATGTATTTCAACCTTCAAGATTAAATGGTTCAGTACTCTCGACAATAAAAAATAACATGGATCGCCTTGATGTTAGACAATAGGATCTTGTTAATAACACTTCATTACGATTTAGTCATGATTAAGTTTGGTTAAAATATATGGAAGCTACCATGACTTTCACATGTTTTTTTTTAAACCGGTAAATAATTTTATAAATAGAAAGCCTCAATTAGCAAGAGACTAGAGGGGTAAGAAATGACTACCACACATGATGGCCTATAATAAATGTGCCTATTTTGTTTTGGTCTTTTTTTTCTTTTTTGACTATTTTCTTGAAAATAAACCCAAAATGTATATTATAGACATTTTCTTAAAAAAATCAATATTTTATTTATTAATCTAATTTACATAAGATGCGACCTTCTTAATACATTCTCTCTAATAAATGAATTTTTTTTTGACACTTGTTACACTTTCATTCAATTTGCTAAATTAATAAGTTTTTCTATTTTATTAAATTTCGTATACTATTTTAATATAATAATTGCAATAAATGTAGTAATAAATTGATATTAATTTCACTAATAAACTTACATTTTAATTTCAAAATTCGCAAAATTAAAGTTCATTAGTTTCTTTTCTTTATTTAAATTATTTGTTTAAATTTAAAAAATAAAAAACATTTTCATTATAATAAAACATTATTTTTCTTATTTTCTTATAAATTCAAAGTTCTTAAATATTTTGACATTTATATTTAACTTTTTTTTAAATTAATTCATATAATACATGGATCTCATAACTAGTAAATATCATCCCAAAAACCTTTATAAATACCATAACAATTTACTTCCTTTTACACAACATGTGACTATATTTCATATACATTAGAGACATATTATTATTCATCTTCTTTAAATGACGATATCCGTTCAGTTAGTAGCAAACATTGTCCATCAAATAAAGCAAAATTTTGTTCAAATAATGAGAATGGAAACAAAAAAAATAGAGACCGTGAAGCTGCGCACGAACGTTTGGTCCACGTTTGCTTTTCTAAAATTGTGCATATGACGCTAAGGATTTCAAAATGTGGTTCTGTTTGAATAAACAATTATTCCTACATATAGATAACGACTTGGAACATGAGTACAATTTCTATCAGTTGAAATGGGATGCTAGATGTAGAAGGGGTTTCAAGTTGCTACAAAAGTGTATGGTCTCAATTCAACTTATGGCATGCAACAACGTAGCAAACTGTAACCACCTAAAAATCATAGTAAAATTTTCATTTTTGCAAAAACAATCCAATAACTACAATTGTTTACAAAACATTGTTTCCAAGAATAATATTCACAATCATAGAATCCTAAAATCCAAAATCATATAACCAAGAGGATGTGCACGATCACACATTTGCTTTCCACAATTGTCTAAAGTACCTGAAACAATAAATTGAAATTGTTAGCTAACGCCTAGTGAGTTCCCCCAAGGCACCACACACAACATATATAACATATAAAACCATGCATGCTGGGTCAAATCAGTCATCAGACCGGAATACCTTCGGGTCCACAACCATCGGGTTGGATTACCCCTCGACCTAATCAATCATTGAACTGGAATGCCACTATACAGAGAGGTCTAATCAGTCATCTGACTGGTATACCCTCGAGTACATAGTCATCGGGATGGATTGCCCCGTTCTATTAGCTCACACACATAGCAGTAAAGCCTCAACCCAAGACTATACTATGTCGACATATGCAACAGATAAAACATATAAACAGACAATAGGCAGATCTATAGATCACTACCGCATAGCAACATCTTATATACCAAGATACAAGTCTAACAGACCACCACAACATAACAACATCTTATATATCATGATACAAATCTAACAGATCACTACAACATAATAGCATCCCATAAACCAGGTCTAACATATCATTACAATATAGTGTGTCGGTATTGGTGCCTTTGACCCATAAGTACAGTGAGGAAAACTCATATCTCATTCTGAAAAGATAACTAAACAGGACACTGCTTCGAAAATCAACTCTACCAGTCACCTATACATCGAATAGTGACCAAACTCAATCACAACTCAAAATACCCAAAATACCTTTAGGTCAAACTTGGTCAAAATCTGGTCAAAGGTCATAGGTCAAAAAGTCAACCAAGTTGACTCAGGCTAAGTACTCCCAACATACTCAGCATGTACGCTTAGCATACTCAAGATCCAGATCTGACTCCCAAGGGAGTACGCGCGGCGTACTTAGAAGTACGCCCAACGTACGCGGCCAAATGGTGACTTTCCCATTAAGTGCTTATTTCATTAAGTCCTTTCGTCCAAATGCAGATCTAGCCCTCAAATATCATTCCAAAGCAAAAAGTTTCCATCTTTATGATTTTGCATGTCTAGAAAATGCCCAACACCAAAACCATAACTTGTCTTAAGCTCTTAAGCTTTCTAGCATTTGCATGGAAGGGAATAATGGACCAAGGTTATACTTTTATGACTCTATACATTGCAAAACGTCCAAAAGGACAACCCATTTGGCCTAGAGCATTCCATACTCAATAAATAGTTTAAGGACAAAAAGCACATAATAGCATCATACAAGCTAGATCTAACAGTATAAGTATCAAGGTATAAACTTTATACCTTCTGGAGATGGAGAAGGGTGCAAAACTTCTAGATCCAAGGTTGCTTCAATCTTCCAAGATGTTCTCATTTCCTTCCCCTTCCTCTAAGAACACCAAAACACACACTAATAGCTCAAGGATGCTTATAAAATGGATTAGGGTTTTTTAGGTACAAAAATAAGGATGGAGGTTGGTGAATGAAGAATGTCTTAAGAGTTAAGGGTGTTTAAATAGGTTCAAACCCTAAAAATTAGGGTTTAGCCTTCCACCGTGTACACCCAGTGTACCGAACGTACACCCAACATATGCTATCAGCCCACGTGTTTTATTTAAGTGCCATATGGTGCCATTTTGCAAACATTTTTCATAATAAGGGTAAAAAGTGTAATTACATGGAAACTGAGATGTTACACAAATCCATTATATTTTATGTTATTCTAAGTTATGCTACAAAAGTTTCAATGCTTTGTCACTTTTGGTCCTTCTTCAACTTTTTCAAAGTTTTAACACTTTACCACTTTTGGTCACTCCTCAACTTTTTAGCACATTAGTTTGTGGAGTTGACACTTTTGATCCCCCAGCTTCGATATTCTCTATTGCTAGCCACAAAGGGTTCAAGAGTTTCCCAATTTTGGTCCCTGACATTTACCAAATGTGACACCTCAAGTTTTTTTGTCACATTAGTTTGTGGAGTTGCCGCTTTTGATTGCCCCATCTTCAATATTCTACTATACTGTCTTATTTTCTCAAATAACAACACATATATTTAATTACCAATGATAGCAATAGATATCAAATAAAGTATTTGTAGCACTGTGTAAGAACGTTGTTACTATAGGTAAAAATAAACCTTTCAAAATACGATGCCCTAATTGAAAAAAAATATTTTTAAAAAAAATACCAACCTGGAACGAAACCCATGTTTTTTTACTAGTTTGTGCAAAAGAACATAATTTTTATATATTATTTTTATTAGCATATAATTTCTTAATATTTTATCTAGTTTTCCAGCCCAATTGGTTTAAAATAAAAGTGCATGTACGGCTTACTCACATGCAATATTGTACAAAGTTAAACCCGTGGACCACTTTTATCGTTTATGTCACACTAATGTCACAAATGCTTATTTTTTGGCATAATGCTACGTATTTAATAATGTTACTTTATTGATTTTATATAAACATTTACATTCATATATTTAATAATATGTGATGTATATCAAATATTAAAGGATTAACACTGTTTCATGGAAAATAAATTATTTTTATTGTATTTAAATAGTCAACAAATCTAATTTATTAAATAAAAAAGTAATGAAGTTATTTTTAAATTATATCTTTTTCCATTTATATTTTTATATTAATTTTTAATATTTGTTATGAATTTGGTTTTTTTTTACAAAATTACCCCAAAGTTTTTTTTTTTACAAATTTACTTTTTTTTTTCAGTTTTTTTTCTAAACATTTTTATGGCTTTTTGTAACTTTTTAGACTTTTTGTAGCTTTTTATAGCCATTTTAAACTTATGTTACAACTATTTTAAGTATTATTTTATATTTTTACAAATGTTTTTTGAAACTTTTTAAATATTTTTAAAACGTTTTTACAGCCTTTTTAACAATGTAATTTGAATTTAAATATATATCTTTGAACTACGTAATTTTTTTAGTGCATAATACTATAAAATAAAAACGCATGTAATTCGTATGGTACGTCGTGATTCACATGCATATGTACTAAGTTGAACCCACTGGACCACTTTTATCGTTTATGTCACATTATTGTCGTAAATACTTATTTTTTTGTCATAATGTTTATGTATTTAATAATCAATGTTAATTTATTCACTTGATTTTATATCAACATTTATTCTCATATACTTAATAAACTATAATGTATATCAAACATCAATAAATACATTCAAAATCAAATTCTCTTTTCCTTTTATTTATTTGAACTTCCTAAAAAGTTTTTCATATATAAATATTACATATATGAACATGACTTCCTGGTCTACATATAAATTTATTCTCATCTAAATTCATTATATATTTTTAAGAAATAAGTATGTTTATATTAAAATAAATTAAATTTTCTTTCATTAAAACAAAACTATTAGGTATTAAGTTATTAAGTTATATATATAACATTAATATCAAAATATGATCAAGAAAATCAAACACAACAACCATAAGATTCTCTTCATCATCTAATCCCTTGTGTATATATATAAATAATAACATTAATGCCAACTTGTGCTTATTTCTATATATATAACCCAAATCCATAATGTGATTTCTATAATTTATAAAAACACAACCAAACAAAAAAAAAGTGTAAAACTCCCCACCTATAATCTTCTAATTACATTTCTCCCATGCTCGCCTTACAGCTCCCACAGGTATTCGTTTAGGGTTTAGGGTTTAGGGTTTACAGCTTTCAGCCGAACCCTCTTTCTCTTTTACTTTCTCATTCTTTAAAAACTTCAACTTTTGTCCCATAAAATATCCAAAAATCAAGAATCCAAACACTTCACGAAGGATTTGATCGTCTCTTTATAAACGGTTTTTGGCAAACAAGCAATTTTTCATCACTATTGCTTTCAATTTCCACAACCCGTGCTTCCCATTTTAGCCTTGCGGTAACCATTCTTGCGGTTTCGATTAAAGAAGTTGTGTCGCGCAGTATCACCCAACCCTAAATAAATAAATAACGTTTAAAAAATATCTAAGAATCTGATAACCCTAACCCTAATTTGATTCGTACATCAATTTTTCATCACTACACTTTTAGTCCATGAGTTTTAACGCTTTTATCGATTCCTTTAGGGACTAGAACCAAAAAAAAATGCTAAACCGAGGGACCAAAAGTGTAAATTTTATATATTAACAAATACCTCCGGTCGGAGTATCCGGTCTATCTCAAAGAATATATCCATCATACTGCAACGATGATGCTTTTCACTTTCAAGCGATAAAAGACCTTCCGCATGAACCAAATCATACGTTCTTGGATACGTTGGAAATGCTTCACACCTACATAAATAATTCAATTCAGTTTTCGTCTGATTCAGTAAATCATGTCATATGTTGAGTCAGATTGACTATGACATAAAGCAGGTTAAACGCAGTACAACCTAATCTGTCATGTCATGTCATATGCCGAGTCAGATCGACTATGACATAAAGTAGGTTAAACACAATACAACCTGATCTGTCATGTCATATGCTGAATCAGAATGACTATGACATAAAGTAGGTTAAACGCAATACAACCTGATCTGTCATGTCATGTACTATGTACTTAATGATGAGTCAGAGTGACTATGACATAAAGTAGGTTAAACGCAGGACGACCTGATGTGTCATGTACTGTGTAATTAATGATGAGATGGGAGAAATGAATGGAAGGATACCAGTCGTGTAACACGCCAAGGAAGCCGCGGTCGAGGATAAGGGGGAGGTGGTTGGGGGCGGTGGTGGGGACCACGTTCATGACCCATATGGATTTGCGTGCGTCGAGTAGCGCGGAATTAAAACCACCGAAATGCGCATTCATGTCGAGTACGTTTCTCACCATGTTGTATGGTGGGGACGGATCTTCAATCCCGGGTCTTTTTGGATGGTCTGAAAATATAAGTGGAGATAGCAGAGACCAATAGTTTCTTATTGCTAAATTCCAATTCACATCGTCTTCATAAACATCATCCAAAAGTACACCTAATATTTAAAAAAATAATAATAATAATGAAATAAGCCAACCATTATTAATGCAAGAAACAAAAATGTAATATAAGGAAATGAATGTAGGATGCTATAATACATAAATAAATAAATACACAAATAAAGAGAAGAAATACCATGGATAGCGAGTTCCTTGGTGTTTAATCTTGCTCTAGAAGGCCAATTTGGTCTTTTCTCAATTGGGATCCAACGGCGGCTATGAGTTCCTCCAATGCATGCCTCGAGTTGATGATAATATGGAGATTCAACATCATGGCCCACTTTGCATATCAATGGTCCCGATCCATGGTTCCTATTAAATAATGAGATAAAGATCACTTACTTTTTTTCTTTTTGACTTAATATAGAAAGAATGATTTAACAAAGAGTCTTTCCCAATTAAGTGTTTGACTTTATATAAAGTTATATAGTAATAGTGAAGTAGTGTTGATTACCTAGAAGCATAACAATCTTTATTACTCTGCTTCTTCCATACAACCGTTTTGTCTTGTTGTGATAACAAATCCCAACAAAGATCTTTAGCAAAATTACGCACAAAATCCCATTTTTTTAAATTCTCTTTATTTCGGGTGGAAATTGGGGTGTTGGCAATTGGTGAGGTCCAAACAAAGTATCCTCCAGGCCTAAGAACTCGATCCACTTCAATCAAATGTAAACCATCTGTGCCAAATTTATAAAAAAAAAAAAAAGTAAACTTTTTTTTTTTCAATTATTTTGACACTAAATGATATCATAAAATCATAATTTGAGTTTGACCTAAATGATACCTTTATGATTCCAGTCAACCCCATCCCATGCACTGTGTACCATGTCGTATGACAGGGACGGAAATGGTAATTTCTTTGAAGTAAAGGAAGCAACCATAGCAGGAAGACCTCTTTCAAGAGTTATTTCCACTTGACTCCCTGAAGATTCATAATTTGCTATACACATGGTTAAAAGTTGGTTTGGAAATAGATGTGCCCCTAGGCTACCAAAACCACAACCTATATCCAATATTGTCCTCACCTGAAAAAAAAAAAATAATTAAAAACAAAATAAAAAGGAAAAAGATACCCTTTATTTCAAGAAAAGATTTTTTTCACTTACACCAGCATGAACAAGGTAAGATTCATTTCTTAAACCAATCATTTCTGCAATTTGATGAGAGTAATCTTCGATACTATCATCAACCATGGAAGATGCAAAACTAAATGAGATTTGATCTTCATCTAACAACATCATCCTGATATTCAACAACATATAATAAGAAAATGAATCAAGAATCTTTAAAGTTTTTGATTTGTAAAGATTTTTTGAACTCACCTTTTGGTCAAACTTCCAGAAGAAAGTACTTGTTGTGCATTTATTTTAACATTATCAATCCAAATAACATCTCTTCCAGTAGGCCATCTGTGAGGAATCTTGTAAGCAGGAGGGGCAAGAACTAAACAATTCTGTTTTGATGTGGGTCCACAATGGCGATCATTTTCATGTCCCATGGTCAAACCCAAGTCAAGGTTTTCTGTGGTATTGAAACAGGGTATGTAGTTTTCTGATTCTAGAGGACAGAATTCAGATTCTTTAACCCCAGAAGTACCAAGTGAAAGCTCTCCAATGTCCCATAAGTCTGATACAAGCTGTTCTTGAAGCCTTCTATATCCATGGAAAGTGTGACCTCTAGAAGAAGTTGTGAGAGATATTGTCCACCAAAAGGATCCAGTAAGGGCAAGAATTATGATCATAAATAAACTCGACTTAAGCAAAAACAAAGTTAGTTTGTAGCGGTTTCTTGAAGTTACAGGGCTGTATGGATCAGGAACACTATAGCCATTTGTGGGAATAGATTGTTTGGATGATGAATTAATTGAATAAAAGAACTGAAATGGATTCCTTGAAGGGGATAAACGATTCTTATGTAAATCTTCATTCTCTGTTTTAACTTTCATTTGAGAATCTTCCAAGAACTCTTGAATTTTCTCTGGTAATTTTCCCCCACCAGAAGTACCTCTATGGAGTGACCTAGACATTATTCTGCATTCAAAACATACAAAATCCCTAAATTTCAAAAGGAACAAAAAGAAAAAGGTAATGGAAATAAAGAAAAGATGCACAGTGTAAGATCTGTTCATGTAATCAACTCCACTAGATCCATAAGAGCATATTAGCGTACCCATTAAACATAAGTACTTGAGTTTAAACAGAAGATAGTGACAACAAGTAAAATTCACTTTCATGAAGGTGATCACCAAAACCCCAAATTGAAAAAAAGGAATCAGATTTGATGTTATATAATATATACATAAGCGGCAAATCCATTAAAAGCATATAGAGAAAAGAAGATGAACTGGTTGCGAATTGGATGACAAATACTAAAAATAGAAAATATTACCTTGATTAGATGCAGAAAATTCAACAAAAATCCGGAAATTCAGCCAGTTATTGTGCAGTCTTCCATCATTTCATGTTGCACACTCCCACTTATATTTATTTTTCTCCTATCACCGATTGTGCAGAACTTTGATTTGATTTAGAGAATAAGGTGGTATATGAACTTGAGAATCGCCCCAATCACGAGAAACGTCGCTCGTGAATGCTACTCAGTACTCACTTGAACTAGATACTAGAGAGAGAGAGAGAGAGAGAGAGAGAGATATGAGAGAGGGCATGTAGATATATATATATAATATATACAGCTTATTTGTATGTATATGTAGATGCATACACATACACACTGAAACACGCAATGGAGAATGGCAGATTATCGATGTGTGAAAAGAGATGGATAAATATGCAATTAAACGCGGAAATAAAATTCTCTCTCACACACGTACACACAGACAAAACGCATTAATGGAGTGGTGCTTATCTAGCTGTAATTTTGGTAATTAATTATAAACAGTAGGTTAATGAATAAGATTCATCTCAGATTAACTACAATAGGTAATTAATTAACTATTGAAACTTAAATTCATAGTTTAATCGCAAAAGAGAGAGAAAGAGAGATAATCGATAGCGATTCCATTGAAGAGTGAAGACTAGCTTACATTACAGATATGTCATATGTCACATTCTCGTACTATTAAAAAATAATAATAATAATGAATATGGGATCAGCTGCACAGTGTGCATAACCGAGTGTAGAATTAGATTTACCTCGAACCACCGTCCGCCATCGTCACTATGTCGACCTGCCGCCGGAATTACCGGCGAATGTGTACACAATATTATAGTCATATATGTAGGTGAAGAGAGAGAAAGTGAATGTGAGCTTCCGATTTCAAGCTTTACACCGGCATTGAAGGATGAATGCAACTATACAAGGAGGGTCTCCACCACATGAAATAAACCCTAGAAATTTCAGATTGAAAATTGATTTGGGATAAAAAATTTAAATTGTACGTTCCTGACTCTGGTGCCTGTGCTTCATGTACCAAATCTTGAGAAACCCTTTTTTCAGCTTTTTATTTTTACTGTTTCTAATATCTATTTATAGATTTTTTATTATTATTATTATTATTATTATTATTTTTTGCATACACAATTATGTTTATAATATTTTATCTAAAAAATTACTTTTTTATTTTTATTCACATTTTAAGAAAAGTCATTGATAATTATCAATGTTTAAGAAAAAAAATATTGTCGGCTTGTTATAGTATTTATTAGCAATTCATCATTAAATATTGAATATTGTTTTTCAATAAACTTTGAATCTGTTTTCAATAAATCACTAAATTATGTATATATTTTCCAAAAAAAATCATTTTAATTTAAAGAAAAAGTTATATACTTGGTCCCCGTGGTTTGCAAGAATGATCACTGCATGTCCTCCTAAGAAATTTTGGATACGAGGGGTCTTTTTTACAAGGAACACGAATGGTCTTTTTGACAAACATGGTTAAAAACTGATGTTAAGTATATGTAAATGACCAAAATACCTTCTATAAATATTTTATTGGACTATTTATTTAATTTTGTCTTAATTTTTTTTTCTTCTTTTTTAATTTACTTTGTCTTTTTTTTTCTTTTGTTAATATTATTATTATTATTATTATTATTATTTATTTTTTATTTTTTTTCTTGCATTTTTTTATTTATTTAGATTTTTTTTACATTTTGTTCGAATATATTGTTTAGTATGTTTTTTACTTCTTTTTGTTTACATTTTATGACGTTTTGTTCGAATAAATTCTTTTAGTTTTTTTTTTTTTTTTGAGGTTTTGTTCAAAAATATATATATATATATATATAATAATTTTTTGACATTATATTCGTTTATATTTTTGAAATACTTCAATGTAATCATAATTTTTAACATAACTTACTTCCAAACCTTCACAACAATCATGCACCGGAGAAATATTTTTTCTTTTTGTTCTTTAATATGTATTTTTTTTGTTAAAAGAGGGTATAATTTTTGTTAAATGTGAGTATGATTAATAGAGACATGTATAAAACTATTTATTTTAATAGGTTAATATATATGTTAACCGAATTTTGAAATGGGTGTCAAGTTATAAATAGCTTGATTGAAATTTGTATAACATGAAAAACCAAAAAAAATCTAAAAAAATGAACTCCAAAACATTGACATCTATTTTCTAGTTATACGGATTTTGATTAGCCTATGTATAATTTGACACCTATTTTGGATTCTGATTAACCTACATATTAATCCATTTAAAGTAAATAATTGTGTGCCTAATCTATATTAATCCTATTCAAATTTAACAAACCTTTTACGCTTTTTTTTACAAAAAATATTTATAAAATGATTTACAAAAATAAGAATTATATAATCATATTTGTGTTATATAGTTAAATGTTTCAAGTAAAAAATGATAATTAATAATTATATTTGAATTTGATTGCTATTCATTGAAAAGTTTGTAGAGTGTAATTATAAACGTTATAATCGTAATTGCAAGCTTATTGTGATTAACTTTGTTGGAATTTTTTAATTAAGGTTTGAAGAGCTAAAACCCTAATTTGGTGAATTGTTGTAAAATTGAAAATTGAGCTTATGGATTAATTAATCAAGTCATTTAGATAAGAAACACGTAAAGTATAATTAGTTTTGTTGATAAGTATTGTATTGGAAAGTTAGATGACCATATAAGTGCGCATATGAGGATATGAAATAAAACCAAGTTCTTAAAGGAATAACTTGTTGGGGTATGAAGTATTGTCTAACATGGAGCACTTAGATCACAATTGAGCATTTGGGGTTCATGGATCATGTAACAAAGGAACGAATCATTTGAGAAAAGAATGAATCATCTGACAAAGAAACGGATAAAGTGCCAAAGGAACAGATCATGTAGAAGGGGGTTTAGAGCACCTGTAAGAGGTTTGGATCACTTAGGAGTGATATAGAGCAACAAGGGGATCTTGTTGCTCCATAAGGGATGGGCCAACAAGTATGCTCTTGCGCCATAATGATCCCTCTTGTGTCATGAGGGGTTCCTCTTGCGCCATGGGGTACTCCTCTTGCTCCATAAGGTATACTCTTGTACCATGCATGGCCTTTGTTGTGGAATGCATGTTCCTGTGGCGCCATGGTGGTGATGTTGCTCCAATCTTGATGTTCTTGTGCCAAAATTAAAGCCACTTGCGCCATCCATATTCCGGTTGCGCCATGATGGCGCAAGATGGGCCATATTGGTCCTTGATGAGCCAAGTATGCTATGAAGTCCTATATGATGCTCAAGATCATTGAAGGATGCTCAGAAGTTATTATTGCTCAAGGATTACACCATGTTGTGACACCATGATAGATATTGGGCCATTAGTGTTCATGATACGCCACTTGTACATCATGATGCTCCACTATGGCAGAAGGTGCTCAATCATGTGTGTTGCTGATGCTCATGGGTTGTAAGACATGGAAAAATGTTCCAGAAGATGTTGCATGGCAGAATATGATTGGTTGTCACCTTTCATGGGCCTATGGGCCAATGAGCTTGGTCCATTAGGGTTTTAACTCTAATCCCTCAAGTATAAATAGGCGCATACCCCCTTCATTGTAAATTGCTAGATTTTTGTGAGAGCTTAAAGTGAGATACAATTTCGAGTGCTTGTAATAGTTCCAGAAAGTTAATAAAATCCTCTCTCTCTCTCTCACTGACTCACTCTCTCTCTCACTCTCTCTCTCTCTCTCTCTCTCTCTCTCTCTCTCTCTCTCGTTCGCCCATGGACGTAGGTCACCTTAACCGAACCATGTTCAATATCGTGTTCTTTTGATTTACTCTTTTTAGAATTTTTGTGAGTTCATCAAAGTTTGTTTTTTTATATTTGTCTGAAGTGCTTAACTTGTTTTGTTGTCTTCCAACATAAGTCATAATAATAAGAGTTTATATGCATTCGAATTGGAATTGAATGAATTCTCACCCAAAGGCACAAGTGAATGACAATGGAATTGGTTAGCCTTCACTAACCAATAAAGGTGAGTACATGTCAAATTCTCATGATTACTTAGCAAAGTATGTTTATCCATGTGAAAAGTGCTTATATACTTGATTAATTGCTAGATTGGTGAAATCTTATACATACAGTTGTTAATGAGCTTTAGGGAAGATATATGTGAAAATGCATTAGATTACCTTATATGTGTTAGTTGATATTTCATACTCATAAAGTGAGTATCAGAGATTAAAGTTATAAATGGATTGATGTTTGTAGGTCCCCGTAATGGGATATAGTGACAACTATTGGGATGGTACCGCTCGTAGATAGTAGTTGTTAAAGGGGGTATAAATTCCTCATCGGCATTGGGATGATTTGTTCTCCTATTTTTTGTAAGGAAATTGTTTCATACCAGCCATGGGTATTGACTCCCCATATTTGTTATGATCTTAAATGTTTGGAACTTAAGTATATTAATGTATATATTAGTTTACTGCTTGCCTAAGCTTTAATTATTGTATAAAAAGTAATTATTATTTTTAGAACATATTATTAGTATAAAACTGATGTATCGCACGAGGTCTCACGTATTTTATTTGTGTTAGTGGATATATATACTCAGATTTAGGTGTCAAGTAACAAGATTACCAGCATACAAGATTTTTGGAAGACCAAGTGTAGTCTTCACTATATACAATATTTCTCTTAATCTAAGGTTATGTGTCATTTGTAACACCAATAATTATACTTTGATGATGTAACACATGTCCAAGTATTATTTAATTTTCTGAGTTTTAGGGCTTTGATGATGGGACTCGACGAGTTAGGAGTCCCGACTCGTCGAGTAGAGAACATTTCGAGGACATGGGATCTAGACTCTACTCAATGAGTTGGAAGGCCAACTCGACGAGTAGGTACTGTAAAAGAAAAAACTCTAATTTTAGGGTTTGCACCCTATATAATCTCCTTAAGAACCATAAGGTTGACCTTCCATCAACCTCCATACCCTAAGAACGTCTATGTTAAACCCTAATCCCCCATTCTATTTCATTTTGTGAGCTAGAGTGACTTGTGAAGCTTAAAATAAAGGAGATAGTGAGAAGAAGAAGAAGATCCAACAAACCAAGCCCTCATTCTTGAGCTTGACCATCTTGTGGACTGTGGTAAGTCTTCAAGATTCGATTTTTACCTTAGGATCTGGCTAGATTTTGAGTTTA